GGGTCGCTGAGCAGCGGGTAGAGCACCTGCAGGTTGAAGAAGCGCACCTCCTTGAGCACCACGTGGCTGTAGGAGCGGCAGGCCTCCTCCACCAGGCCGAAGGGCCTCCGCGCGCACAGGGGCTTGCACACCAGTTCCGTGCTGATGGCGCCGCGGGGGAAGGCGCTGCAGGCGGGCGGTGAGCACAGCGCCCGGCTCACCGCCCACTGGAAGAGGTCCGACAGGTTGCGGCGCCACGGCAGGTAGGCGTCGAACACGGCCATGTCGCACAGGAAGACGGAGCGCACCAGGTCCCTCACGGCCATGTGCAGCGCGGGAGCGCTGCCTTGCGACAGGGCGGTCCACACGTGCCACGCGGGCTCCATCAGGTAGAAGACATCTGGGTGCTGGCTGAAGAGCTGGCCCACCAGGGACGAACCCGAGCGCCACGAGGACAGCACCAGCACGTGCACGCGCTCCGGGCTGTCCGCCGGGGCCGCGGGCCGGGGCCATCCAGGCCGGGAGACCAGGAAGAGCAGCAGGGCCGTCTGCGCCAGCACGAGTGCCTTCACGGCCGTGTTGGAGATGCGCGGCAGCCACATGTCCTGGGGGAGGAGAGGGCAGCGGGTCAGGAGATGGTCGTGGCTACGGGCAAAGAAGCTCAGTGGCGACACGGAGTCAAACACGGAAGAGGGGTGGATTCCCCTCTGGCAGGCCCCCTCTCCAGGCGCTCCGTGTTGGGGTGTTGGCCTGTATCATTCAAGTGCTTATCCCCAGTGCCTTAAGCGTTGGCCGGCACATAGTAGGTCCTCAGTAAAGATGTGCCAAGCAAACTCCTAAGCCAGTGAGAGTTGCGTAGCCCCCAGTAAACGGGAGGTTCTGGAACCAGTCAGATGCTGGGGGCAGCGCAAGGCAGTCGTTAAGGCCTTCAGGAAAGTTTAGCTGGTTTAGCCAAGGAACTTCAAGGCTGCTGGCTCCTTTGGCTCAGTCCTGGCCTTGGCACTTCCTGACCTGTGGCGCAGACCACTCACTTATGCCCTCGGTGGCCCAGTTTACTTACCAGGGACAGTACTACCCTGAGGCCTGGCCCATGGGACGGTGGGCACCAGTAGAATGAGCATGGCCAGGGGCTAGTAAACCACTGGACCAGAGGCATGAGCCTCTGCATGGCTTTGTTTTGCACAGGAGGTTCAAATTAGAGTTTTAACTGTTAATGGCAACCAACTGTTGCCATTGCCTGGAGGGAGCAGGTGCTGCAAACTAGGTGGATCCCAGAGGGAAAAGCCCTGGTGGGTGGGTGGGAAGAGAACTGTTAAGGGAGATGTGGGAGAGGAGGGGGCACGTTGAGAGCACAGCAGGCCTCACTAGGCTACATTTGTTCACTCCCTGCTGCCCGGGGCTGCTCCCAGCAGTCACAAATCCATGGGAGAGCCCACAGGTTCCTCAGGACCTAGGAACACAAGGGCTGCCTCAGAGCCCCTCACACTGGAAGGGCTCAACCTTTCCAAACTGAAGGACTGCTGCCCAGTAGGTTTCCATCTTTCAAATGGGTATAAACTCCCAGGCTGAGGACAGAGGGCAGGAGCCTCAGAACCGGGATCGCTGCTCTGCAGACCGGACGTGGCAAACTCTCGCCTCTTAGGGATGCTGCCAGGAGCACTGCTGCAAACATGAGGATGGGGCTGGGCCACCTACTGGGGCCATTATGAAGGTAGGAAGCCTTTGCCCAGATGAGACACCCTACAGGCACCTGGTCACCTTCAATTTGGGCTCTCCACCAACCACACTCGAAAATCCCATCATCCCTCAGGCCCACTTCCAAATCCAATGCCTCCCAGGCCCCTAGGCGGATTTTAAGAGTGGCAGGCTCTTATCGGGAAGCAGTAGGCAGGCTGTTCTCTGGGACCACTTCCTGGACCCTGGATGGATTTCCTGGATGAAATCTGGTAAAGAGGCTGTTGGATTGGAGGGATGGAACTCTCTGCCAAGAATAGAGGTCCCCCAGGAAGGGACAGGGCCTCTGCTCACATAAACTACCACGCAGTGGAGAGCTTAGGTGTCATACAGCCACTCCATGATTTAGCTCCACAGCCTCAATGGGTATTATGAGCTCCATTCTTCAGGCAAAGGACTCAAGGCTAGGAGAGATGGCAGGAAAGCTCAGACCCCTCACCCAGGCTGGCCTGTCTCCCAAGTTCCTAGCACTGTTCAACCACATGCAGCTGGCCTCTCCCTGGGGACCCAGATGCAGCTGACCAGGCCAGCCTAGTTCTCCCAGGGAAGAAGGATGCTGACCCAGCCCCAAGTGCTGAGCGCACTCCAGCGAAGCCAGTGGTGTCCTTCTGACTCACAATCCAGGATCTGCTATCATCAAGCCCTTGCTTGAGCACAGGAGCTTGGAAGAAAATGAGAATTTCTTAGGCCACTCAGGGTCACTAGAAAGGTCCAGGTCACAGTAGGGACCATGCTGATAAGGAGTCTTCAGTTCAGCAAGTTGGCCAATTTCCCGGAAGTTCCAGGAAGGGACCCACTGTAACCTTAACTGTGGGGGGAGGTCAGGTGCGCAGGCACTTCCCCCCCTGAGGGTGATCAGTTGCCAAACTGCACTGGGCCTGCTCCCTGCTGCTGGAGACAATGGACTACTTCTCTCTGGAACCTAAGGCCATTAGCTTGGTTCCTGTAGGAGGGGTTTACACCCTACTGATAATGTTCCTATGGAGACCCAGAGACCACCCTCTCATTACTGGGTACCCTATAGTGTAACCCCTCCCTGTGATGTATGTCTCTACCTGTAATTAGTGGGCTGGCTTGCCCCCAAAAGGTATATAGGTATGGATCAGCAATAGAGAGCACTCGGACCTCTCAGACTCTCTCTCCCCCCTCCCCTCTCCAATCCTCTCTCCCTTGTTCCCTTTCCCTCCTTCCCTTCCCCCTCACTCCACGTGGACCACTAAGCTGGGTTGAGGTGAGCAATGTTGCCATGTAACATGTCTGACTGTATTATTGTAATATCTCTCATGCTCTCGATGACTCTAATATAATACATATATATCTCAACTGTACAATTGTGCATTACTGAACCCAGAAGTAGTATTACTGAACTCGTAGAGAGTATTAGCGGTGGGGGCTGGCCCCCCACCCCTCCCTCGGCGCCAATTTTTAAAATTTAATACTACACTTAACCTCTGGGGCTTTACCTTCAGGATGGAATTCTATCCTCTGTCCACCCCAGGAGGCAGAAATGATCATCACTGTTGGTTTTGCTGGAGGTAGCGAGACTCAAGAGACCTGAAGACCCAGCTAGTAAGTGGCAGGTGGTTAAACCCAAGTGTCAGCCCCCAAACATAAGGCTATAGGGCCCCTTCCTAAGCCTTTATAACACCCCTCCTCCTGGAAGCCTTGTTTCCCTCCCCTAGAAATTCTTTCTTCTTTTGTTTCTGTTTTTGGAGGGGGTACAATTTATAAGAGCTTAATTTTTGCAAAAGAGTGAGGCAGAACACTAAAGGTCCAGATGAAGCTAGCTCAGGTGGCGATTATGAGAGAGGCCCTACCCTTTGGGCAGACAGCCGACACAGAAGCACAAAGGGCTACAGGTCAACACTGTGCTGTCCAGGGGCAAGATGGCAAGAAGCTATGCTCTCGGTTCCTAGGCCTATCCAGGATCCTCTGCAGAGGCAACTGTGCCTTCAGGTGCCACCAAGTCTTTGAGGCAGTATGATGGTGATGAACATAATCATCCATTTGGTGGGCGGGATGTGGAATAAAAGTACAGCGTGCTACATAAGGAAACAGAAGCCCTGATACCCAGGGCCCTCTCTAGAACAATCTTTGTAGAGTCACTGAAACATTGTTTAGTCATGACGTCTTATTAAATTTGACTTTCCGTCAGAAAAAATACATTTAAAAGCAAACAAGCAAACAAACACCCACTGTCATCAAATTGATTTCGACTCACAGAGACCCTCTGTAGAGTTTATGAGGTTATAACTCTTTTCTTTCTCCCATAGGCTGGCTGGTGGGTTTGAAGTGCCAGCCTGGCAGTTAGCAGTCTACTGCTTCCCTGACAGGACCACCTGGGCTGAAAATGCATATAGCTTGAATAAGCATAAACTAGAAAGTAAGAATGCTAGTTTCCCCTGGGCAGGGACCAAACTAGCTACATGCCCTGGGAAACCAACCAACCAACACAAATCCAGTTCAACTCACTTTATTGCTTTCACTTTACTGTGGTGATCTGGCACAGGACCCGCAATGTCTCAGAGGTCTGGTGGCATAGCCTGTTGCAAGCTAAGTTGGGGCATGTTTAAATGTACACAGTCTAAAAAGTCAGACATAGAGTAACCACAGGCCATTCTTTGGCTCTGGAATCCCAGGGCCCAGCTGAAGGCAGCTGCTTTCAGGTTTGTCAGTGTTTCATCTGCTAGTTACCACCCTGTTTTCAGGTATCGGTGACAGGTTGCCATGATGGCACTTTCTAGGGACTCGGTACCACGGAAGGCCAGTTGCCTTTCTCTCTCTGCATACACACACATAGACTTCTCCCCTTAGTCTCCTATGAGGACCTCTTGTTACACCAGGATTCAAAATGTACATTACATAACTAAATACAAGTTCATGGGCTGAAACCCATCTGGGCAGTTCTACCCTACAGGCTCCATGAGTTAGAACGTGCTCAATGGCAGTGAATTCTGGGTTTGGCCTCCCTGTAGCCCAGCGGTTCTCAACCTGTAGGTCACCATCCCTTTGGGGGTGGAACAACCCTTTCACGGAGGTCGCCTGATTCATCACAGTAGCAAAATGACAGTGATGAAGTAGCAACAAAAATAATGTTATGGTTGGGGGTCACCACACCATGAGGAACTGTATGAAAGGGTTGCAGCATTAGGAAGGTTGAGAATCACTGATCTAGCCCACCTTACTCAGAGCTATGAGAGCTTCCTAAAACACATATCTGACCATGCCATCCCATGCTCCTCCCTCAGCACCCTTCACTGCTCCAGTCTTCCTTCCCAGAATTCCTGGCAGCATCCTATAACTCAGATGATCAGGAATCATCTGTGCTCATCAAACACCCCCCTGCCCCTCCACTCCCACGAGGACTTATCTCGGCTTCCTCTGAGGGCACCACATCTACGCCTTAACAAGAACTCACCATGCCACCATTCTCTGCCCTGCCCTACTCTTTGTCTGTGAGGGACTTGAAGGTAGAGATCGTGGGGTTTCTGTTTTGTCTTTGGTTTTTTGGCAAATGAATGCCCGTCCTCAGGAATCCAGTGCATAGGATGGGACGTGGCTGTTTGGGCCTGCTGGTGCTTGCTTCCCTTCTCCTGATAACACCTTCTAGATTTTTTTTCACTCCCAAGTGAATGAGACTTGGTAGGGCTGAGGAAAAGGAGCTATTCTGCTAGAAATGCAGATGGGAAAACTGAGGCCAGCCAAG